AAGCCTCTGGACTCATCTTCTTAGCTTTGATTTTCTTTTTTGTCCATGTGTTTATCTGTGTGTATATGTGAGTGTGTGTGTGTGTGTGTGAGTGTGATTTATTTATTTTCCCCCTACACCTCCCTGAGAACTTCAAGTCCAATTCCATTTCTCTTGGTGTGAAAACCATTTCACTTGATCTTTTTCTTTTTAGCAGTGGTCTCCTACAGTATTTGCCTTTATCAGACTGATTCACTTTGCTGAACACATTGTCTTCCACAGTCATTCTTGTTATGAGAGTTTCAACATTGTTTCTTGGGGAAGCATATCATTCCTTTGTACGAATGTATCAATGGTTAGTTGTCCCTTCCTCCTCAGAGAGGCATTTTGCTTGTTTCCACCTTTCTGCAGTTGTGGATACCACTACCATAAACATGGTTGTGCATATATTTGCTTATGGTTAGAGAGACTATTGGGTCTTATGGTATTTCTAGTCCTATTTATTTTTTTAATGCCATACTATTTTCCATAGTGGTTGCACAAATCTGAAAATCCACCCGCAGGGTAGGAGTATTCCAGTTTCGCCACATCCTCTCCAACATTTTTTATGGTGATGCTTCTGTTTGTGTTTTTAATTTTTCTATCAGTGGTGGGGTGGTATCATTGTTGTTTCAAATTGCGTTTCTCTTGTAGCTTGTGATCTCGATCATTTCTTCATATGATGATGGTTGGCTGCCTAGATGCCATCTTTGGTGAATTGGCTATTCGTGGTGTTTGCTCATTTTTTAACCGGATTATTCATGTTTTGTTGTTGGTGAGATGTGGCAGGATTTTCTATCCATTTTCTTGAATACACGTATCCTCTGGTATTTAGTTTCCGTGTCAACTTGATCCCACCCGTTTGGAGGTGGGAGTGGAGTCCGTCCTGTCCATCAGGTCATGGCCTGATGATTGCTCCTGGAGCGTTGGGCCTTTTATGAGAGGGAACTGGGAACTTGACCCTTTCTTTCTTGCCTTTTGCCTTCATCCTTGCTGAGACTGTGTCTGCCTCCAGCAGTGCCTCCATGTGGGCTGCCAAACCCTGAGAGCTACCGGTGCCCAGCCACCTTTCCAACAGCCTTGGATCCACACAACTCTGCACCCCCTGGACTGTGGTCTTCCTGCATCCTGTTCACCTTCCTGTCATCAGCCTGCAGTTAAGTGAGTCTGTCATCTCAGCGGATATGTGATTAACATGTAACTTGACACTTTGGTCTGATTACTCTTTCTCCTTTCCTCAGGCAGTTTTATTTACCCTTATTCCTATTACTTTTTAGAGTAAAACAAATATAGGCTTAAATTTATGTTTTATTAAGTATATGTGCTTTGGTAGTTACAAAATTTCATGTCGACTTGAAGAAATATAAAAGTGCAGGTGTGGAGTTAAGCCTGTCAATCAGGTCACAGCCTGATGGTGCCTCCTTGAGGGCATGACCTTCTCAAAAGGACAGTACTGGGAACAATCCCCTCTCTCTACCTTCTCTCTACCTTCACTGCCCGACTGGCTAACCCTGGTGGCTGCAAGTGACCCAGAGATGCGTGCACCGCCCTTGAATCTGCAAGACTTTGTACCCACGGGTCTGTGCTCTTCCTGCATTCTGCATCATTGCATGTGGCTTTGTGGGTCAGAAAAGGGACTTATGGACTAGGATCCACCTCACTAGCATAACAAACATTCCCATACATTGATAAGATTTGTGAAAAGTTTCCTATTAAATCATTTTCCTTGATTAAAACACAATTGATGAACACTTCATTATCTCCTAGTGGTCCCTTATGCCTCCCAAAACAAGGAATAATCAGTATAAAGTAGCTAAAGAGAAGTTTTGAAAATTACACTATGTCCACACTGATGGATGCTGTGGGTGACAAGCATTTCAATTGAAGCTGGGTAAGAACCGTGTGTTGATATTGAGTCAAAAAGGGTCCAAAGTCAAAGATGGCCTTGAACAATCCAGGCAAGTGTCCCAATCACTCACTCACTCACTCACGCCTCTTCACTCCAACAACAGTCTCAATTCGCAGTCTGACGTTCTAGGTGAACGCACTGAGTGTCCAAACTGCAAAATCAGGTTTGAAACCATCAGTATCTCTGCTGGAGAAAGACCAGGTAGTCTGTTCCTGTAAAGGTGCACAGCCCCAGAGACCCAAAGAGGCTGTCCCACTCTTTTCTAGTGTCTACATGAACTGGAATCATCTCGATGATAGTGAGTTTAGTGACTTACTTGATTTGGGACAACCTCCTATTTAAGTAGCTGGAGACAATGTAGGACACCCATCCAAAGCACAGAACATCCCATTTCCAGTGTGCAAAGAACTCACAAAATATGAGGCCATCAGGCCTTAAGAAACCATGTAACTTTATTTTGAAGGAATCGCTACACCCACCTTTCTAGCTGTAGAATAACTGAGGTCATTGCTCCTAGGTGTCATCAAGTCGGTTCTGACTCACAGGGACCTTGTGTGTGATAGGAGGAAACACCGCCTGTTCTTGCACCATCCTCACAATTGTTCTTGTTTGAGCCCATTGTTACCTGTAAATGTGTAGGATATTTATACACTTTACCTTGTGAGAATATGAGGAAAAATGTTTGTTTTCTTAGAAGTTGGCAATTTAAAGAATGACTGTCATCATATTCTATACCCTTACATCCCGTTTCTATTCTCGATAGCTTGCATTAAATCATAGCCCTAATCCCAGAGCAATTAGTTCTGATGACATGTCTCTCATGAAGAGATCATTGAAGCTATGAGTACTACCTTAAAGTCATCACATTTTCAATTTTCATAAAATTTCTTCAGAATAAGCCCCAAAGGTTGCCCTGTTTCCTTTGAGAAAAATCTGCCAAGAGGGTCTCTTTGGCATTCCCCCAAGTAGTTGTCATAACCTTCTGAGCTGATCCCCCTGACTTGAATTTAAATCGTCCAGTAGATCGTCTTAAGGAGGAGCCGTGGTGATGTAGTGGGTTATACACCCGGCTGCTAACTACAAGGCCAGCAATTCAAAAGCACTTGCCACTGGAAATCGGAATGGTTTAACACATTTTTGTGCACATAAAATCTGACGTGAGGTAGCAGAGGTTGTCTGCCATAAGGGAAACCAAGGATGCAGACTGCTTGCAGCAGGTGCTTCTGACATCTCAACATGGAGAGATCTGGCAACGACATGCTGGCTTCCAAACGCCTTTACCTGTGACAAATAGTAATGGCCCCATTCGGTAGCCCGGGCTACCTGTGGCACAAGATGTGGATAATACCCCACATATGTTTCAACGGTGTGTTATTCTCATGTTCACTTTCTCTTTAAGACTGGCATATACTACTTTGGACTTGGGGTCCTTTTTTTTATCCCTTGGGAGACTAAATTAAAGGTTAGTGAAAAGCAAAATAAATTATGGGAAGAAGGTTGACCTCCAGTTAGGAGTGGGAGTGAGCTCCAGGCAAATTCAGACCAGGGGTCTAAGCTCCGTCAAAAATCCTTATGGGCTCAAGCTTGACTCCAGATCCATAGAGACCATATGAACCCCCGAAACGTTGCCAAGACAATTCTTAACCCTTACCGCAAAACCATAGTGTGACTTAACTAGTAAAAATCTTCTACATTAAGCATTATGCTCCTTTAAAATCTGTCTCTATGGGATTAAATTGAACAACACCTCAGGAAGATTAGATAGCAACCTTAGGGGGTGTTGAGTTTACTTGACTGAGAAAGAAACCACCCAGAACGGAGGAAGGCAGGAATGGTCGCACAGCTCAAAGAACGTAACCAACGTCACGTGGAGAAGCAGTTGAAGTGGTGCAGGTTTCTGTCCTGTAAATCCTCAACAGAGAAACCATTTACAAAACAAGTCTGTTCACGGGGATTTCCTAGCTCAGTTTCTTCAACTGTGAAATGAGATTGATAAGCGCTTGATAAGCTCGCTCTCATGGGACTGTTGTTCTGTGTGTAATATTAAAAACAACCAAAAACTTGGCAAAAATCCTGGAATATCTTAGCTCTTAATGAATGTGGGTTTTTGCGAAGATTGTCTTCCCCAAATTTTACTACGTGTGTGTGTGTGTGTGTTGCTTTAAATATAGGACGTTGCAGAGGATAGCAAGTGTTTTAGGAGACAGAAGAGCAAATCAAATAAAATTACTACTTACCAAGCAAAACTCAGGAATTTTTTACCCTCAGAAAGGACGATGAAAACCTGTGTGTAAAGATGTCTTCTCCAGCTGTGTACAATGTAAAGGTCCTAGAATTTGCATTGAGAAGACCCATTCCTTCCCTTCCATCCAAAGCACCAGGGTTTTCATTCATTTCACCATCACCAGAACTTTAAATGATGCCAAATTATACTCAAAATAACTTAAAATATCGCTTGAACGCACTGGAGTCTGACTCTTCTCAGACCCATCTAACATTGACATTTCGATGTCTTCCGGGACTCTCATCTCAAGAGTAATTGCTGGCAATACTATACCTCTTTGGAAATGATGTGAATGTAACACCTAGTTAAGATCAATGTGTATAACTTCAATGAAGCAAACATGCAAGAAAGTATTCCTACTTTTACTTAGGATACAAAGAAACGAATAGACATTGTTCCTCATTCAGACTTTCTTCTCAACTATAAGACAAGGTACCTGAAAGTCTGACCTCTGGTCATTCCCACATCCCTACCCCCATGTCCCAGTTTTATTTGAAATTGACGCTGAAGGGCTCATACTTTCCTCACATTCCACACTGCCTTACCTAGGGGTATTTTTTATCTGACACACTCAACCGGCCCTTCCCCCTTCCCACATTCACCAATTTCTATGGACTTCTTCAGACTTGCGACTTCTTTCTTGAAATATACCTACCATTGGATGCTGCTGCTTCCATACTCTAATGTCCTATGGGCAGACACTGGATCATGATTACCCTGGCATTCCCAGTAATAGTGTGGTGGATTTCAACAGGTGGCTAGATGCTCATATAAATAAGAATTACCAAGTCAGTAAGAAGTCTCCTTTATTAAAGTCAATATTATCTTACATTCTTGAATAAGCTAAGCAAATCCAGGTACTGATCTTTGAATTTTTAAAAACAAAGTATTAGGAGGGAAAAAGACAACCCTAAACTGTCCATCTTTTACATTTTAGTTGATTTATCTCAGCATTTTGAATGCGGAGTCTTTTACAGGTCTAACAACCAACCCATCTACATGCTATTCTATTTTGTCCCAGATCAGAGTAGAAGTGGTTTTACAATGGTTTAACAAAATAGCAAAGCTCTTACCCTTAAACATATTAAACAGCAGTAAATGTGTGAAACAGACCACACAAACACTTAGATTCTAAAGCTACTTAACCGCTATATGAAAGGCAACATTTGAATACTGACCCCAACAAAGGCTAAATCTCCAAGCTACCCATATACAACAGGAAAACATGGGTAAGTACACTATTCATTCCCATGCCAGCTCCACCCACCACTACTTAGAAAGGGTTTCCAACCTAAAGTGAAGAATCTGCCTGAGACCTCACTGGGGTTGGAAGCAGCTGCTGGAAGTGGCACCGGAACTCTCCAAGGACACGGTGGTGGCACTAGCGTCAACGCTGGCTGCAGCTAGACCTTGGGCTCTTTCTTTCTCCACTTTCAGAGCCACTACAAACGTAATTGGGAAAGAACCTGGGCTACGTGCATAAGCTTTTAACAGAAACTGGAGGAGCTGCAGCTTGTTGACTTCAGCGAAGGCTCTTGGACCCCACACAAACTTGTAACGTGGAGGGTTAGTGTTAGGCAGCTGCCGATACTCCACATATTTTTGCTGAACCAGCTCTCCGGTGAGGAAATCCTCTGGTTTCCCACAGATGAAGTGCTTCTGCCCAGCATAGATGCCCATCGTATTCATCACCTCCCACACTTGCTTTTCAGTGGCACTGTTACGGTTGAGGAAGATCACACCCAAGACAATAATCAGGATGCCAGTCTTCGGCATGCCTTCTACTTCCCTCAGCAAGCCATCGTAGGTGAGGCCTAGTGTCATGCAGACCGTGTAACAGTGGTGGATGGTGTCTACTTCCAACACTTCAAGGCCAAATAGCATCTCCAAGCATTCTTGGGCTTTCTGCAGGATCTCGGGGAAGTGATCTTTATACTCTTTGATGACAGTATTCAGCATGTCTTCCAGGGTGACTGGCTCTTTAATTCGATACTTGAGCAGCAGATATCTCGCCAATAAAGACGCTTTCTCTCTGATAGGTGACCCAGACAATTTTTCAACATCCAGCGGGGTCAGGCCGTCGCTGTCGTCATCAGAGCTGCCCTCTTCAGTGTCTTCAGTTGAAGAGGAAACCTCATGCTCACTCTGAAGGCTCTGGGAAGTACTGGGCTTTTCTACAGCAGAAGTCTCCTCCGCAGCGGTCTCCTTGAGGGAAGTCTTCTCTGTGGCCTTGTCTCCGTTGCTGGGAGTTGGAGAAGAGCAGGAAGAAGAGTCTTCCTCCAAAAGCTCAGGTAATACGAGATTGCTTGTGTCCTGGCCTTCCGTGGACACAGAGAGGGGTTGCTTAGGACTGAAGCGAGGGATCTTTTTTTTAACAGGCATGATGACTTATGTAGGTAGCAGCAGATGCGCGTTTGGGCAGAAGAGAGGAAACAGCAAGCCCACAACCTAAAGGAGAGAGCGGAAACGGGGACTTAGATGGTAAGCTAAAATGTGGGAGCCTTGCCAAGGCTACCTGTATCAGCCTTCTCTTAAGGGACAATGCTCTCGTGTCTCACGGGTCTCCTACTATTGTTCTAGTCAACTTTCTCCACGATAAACTGAAAGGGTTCGTGACAAGCTTGGTACGTGAATAGCCACAAAATGCAACTCAAGGCTTTCCATCGCTCACAAGAGGGCAGGCACAATCAGTTGCCATGGCTTGGGATTGGATGGTCCCTTCAGTTCTGAATCTGGTTGTACAGCTTGTAGAAAAGGTGCCCGTTTGCCTCTGATGCTCTGAAGCCACTCCTCTCAGATCAAGCCTGCACCTTCCCTGAGAAATGACAGGAGAAAGGGAAGAGGAACCGAATGCAGTTTACCTTGTTCTGGGATTACTGAGGCTGACTGCAGGGGCCAGATGTCTTAGCCCATGTGTTCTGGGTGGGTGGTGCACTTAAGATTCCACTTAAAGTCCTTATCTGAGATTCCTTCTGCTGAGGTGGTATAAGAATATCAGCTATAAGCCTTCAGCTACATAAAACCTCTGAGGCAAGAACCAATGTGCTCCTCAGCCTGGAAGGCGTACTAAGTGTTGTCCAGGAGCAATGCACGACTCTTTGTGCTCCCACTATTCTGAAGTTACAGATCTCCTACTCCCCGTCCACAGTCTTGATTCTTAGCAGAGCCTGAGAGTTCACTTCCTAATGTTGTAATTTGTACCCCATGACCAAGGTCATCAGATTCCTAAAGACAGTACTGTATCTGACCTCCCCTGCCCAGGGCATTTCTGGGCTGACATCAATGTTGGTGTTCTAATGTGTAATATCCCTCTGTTGTGAAGTAGGTCTTCACTCAAGATCCTCACCTCCTGCAGAGGATGGACATCTACTCTCTGTTGCCCTGAGGATTCTTTCCTCAAACTAAGGAAATCAGCTCCCTTTGACACTTGATTTGGCATGTTGGGATGATGGTAGAGCAGGGTTCCACATGGTTTGGTTTGGGGTTAAAATTAACACGGAGGGAAACATGACCAGGACTATATTCCCTAACTTGTAACAGAGGGAATCTGGAAAGCTACTATTCCATAGTAGGAAAGCCACCACTTTGGTTAAGAGCTAAAGTCCAAGTACATTATCCTGCTTTAATAGAATTCCCACAGTTCTCTCCTAACAGCTATGTAACTTAAAGTGAGCACATGGTTGATTCTATCTCCCTATGGAAGAAGACATTCTTGTCATCTCCCGCCATGGCACCCATCCCCCATCACCCCTTCCCCCAATGCACTTATTTCCTCACCTGTGTGCTCAGGGACTTCACTGTGGTTATCACAGTGGTTACCACCCGCCTTGCGTTGTATGTAACTATTGAACATGCATATCTCATGGCTACCTACAAATATCCCAAGACAGTAAAGACCTACAAATATCCCAAGGCAGTAAAGACCTACAAATATCCCAAGGCAGTAAAGACTCTCTGCGTGCAGACCTGGTTGTTGAGATCACGGTCTTCCCGGAGGTCAGCACGTTTCTATAAAATGTGTCTGACTCTTTTATTTTACTCTCTCTCCTATCTTCTATGATTTTATTCTAACCTTTTGCGTTGGCAGATTTCAATGTGTAGAAAGTACCCATGTTGCCCCCTAGCTCTTGTGAATTTATTACATAAAAAGGGGGGGGGTTGTGTGATACAGAAAGGTTTTTTCCCAGGTTGTCTCCCCATAATATATGCCAAACCTAAGAATACATGGTCATTTGACAATGCACTTGGAGGTCAGCCATCTAGAGCCATCAGACTCTAGAGTCGATCCCACCCTCAGCAGGTCCCACTCCCTGCTGATAAGGATAGTAGATTGCTCCCCTGAAGGTGAACCCAAAGACATGGTTAAGTCAAGTCAAGGAGGACCAAGGTTAGGCTGCCATCTTGAATCTAGGGTCCTCCCATCTTGTCACATGTGTGCCCCTATGGCCTTCCCTTCCTATTGCATGCACACCCATAACTCGTCCCCCTATTGCATGTATGCCTATGGCACAAGCCCTTCCTGGTTAGGATGCAATTAGGGCGGACTTGCACGTCACTGAAAATGTATATAAGCCATGATTCGAACTACATTCTCTCTGTGTGGACCTGCCACTGAGATCAAGGCCATCCCGGAGGTGAACATGATACTATAAAATGTGTCTGATTCCTTTATTGTACTTTCTCTCCTATCTCTCTTATCTTCCATGATCTTTACATGCTGTCTTAAAGTGAGCACATGGTTGATTCTATCTCCCTGTGGAGGCAGACATCTTTATTATCTCCTCCTGGGACGCTACCCATCCCCTCTCCTACCTTCTCCCAATGCAGGTATTAGGTTTCCTCATCTGTGAACTCAGGGGCTTTACTGGGGTTACCACCCACCTTGTGACATTTGGAACGACTGAATAGGCGTGTCTTATGGCTACCTATAAATATCCCAAGACAGTACTAATTCTCTCTCTCTGCGAGGAACTGGCTGCTGAGATCATGGCTATCCTGGAGGTGAGGATGCTACCATAAAATGTGTTTGACTCCTTTATTTTAATCCCTCTCCTATAGTCTATGACTTTATTGTAACCTTTTCATATATATTATAACTGTATATTTGTGCCTACGGACCCTGCGGTGGTTAGAGGCTGGTTTTCTCTGACAGTACATTGTTTGGTTTGGGATTAAAATGTTCCACCCCTATTTCCATTGTTACGGGCAGTTCCTAAGAGTTCTCCTGATTGAGGTTTCCCATTCACAATAAGGCCTCAACTAACTCATTGGCAATAGTGGATAAGTGTCAGGGCATCTCATCTAGCGAGCTCTGTTCAGTTTCTCCTCGGAGTCCATCTATTCTGTGGGATCACACTTTTCTGGAAGGGCAATCCTCTCACTTATAATACCACATTTATGACTATTGGCAGGACCTGGGATGATACCTTCAGACTTGACTGACATATTGTGTACTGAGACCAGTCTTCGTCAAACTGAGAATGCCAGGTGTAAGTTTTGAAAACAGAGCAGAACTCTTTGTGAACTCCACAGTTCTGAGATGGGTGGCCCCACAGTCCCAACTCCATGCCTTACCTTGGCCTCTGGGACACCTTCTGCTGTCCCGATGTTACACTCTCAAAATAAGGTCTCATCTTGGTATTAAGACAATGAAGTTAAATGGAGAGAAAATGTTTTGAGAAA